GGGAGGGGGGATCGGGATGGGGAACACATGTAAATCCATGGCTGATTCATGTCAATGTGTGGCAAAAACCACTACAATATTGTAAAGTAATTAGCCTCCAACTAATAAAAATAAATGAAAAAATTTTGTTTTTGTTTATTTTTGGCTGTGCTGAGTTTTCATTGTTGCACGGGTTTTGCTCTAGTTGCTGCGAGTGGGGGCTACTCTGTACTTGCAGCCTGCATGCTTCTCAAAGCAGTGGCTTCTCTTGTTGTGGAGTACAGACTATGCACGCAGGCTTCAGTAGTTTCAGCACGGAGACTCAGTAGTTGCAGTTGCAGGGCTCTAGAACAGTCTCGGTAGTTGTGGCACAAGGGCTTCATTGCTTCAAGGCATGTGTGATCTTCCCAGATCAGGGATCGAACCCATGTCTTCTGCATTGGCAGGCGGATTCCTTACTACTGAGCCGCTGGGGAAGTCCAGAAGGGCAATGTTTTAAGATTTATTTTTTAGAGCAGTTTTAGGTTTACAGTAAAATTGAGAGTCTCATCCAGATTGCATCATTCCCGTTAGGGTTCATGCTCAGTGTTTCACGTCCTGTGGATTTGGACAAATGCATAATGACTTGTGTGCATCATTATGAAGCTTCCCAGGTGGCTTGGGGATGAAGACCCCCCCTGCCAATGCAGGAGACACTGGTTTGATCCCTGGGTGGGGAAGATCCCCTGGAGGAGGAAATGGCAACCTGCTCCAGTATTCCTGCCTGGAAAATCCCATGGACAGAGGAGCTTGGCGGGCTACAGTCCACGGGGTCGCTAAGAGTCAGACATGACTGAGCAACTGAACACAGTAATATCACACAGAGGATTTTCACTGTCCCAAGTCCTCTGTGCTCTAGCCACCCTCTGACAACCACTGATTTTTTTTTTAATTGCCTCCATAGTTTTGCCTTTTCCAGCACATCATACAGTTGAAATTACACTGTCTTTTCAGGTTGGTTTTCTTCACTTAGTAGTAACATGCCCTTAGTGTTGAGGAGCACTTGTTCACATGATTCCATAGCTCATTTCATTCTAGCCCTGGCCGATGTTCCACCATACGGATGGGCCTCTGCTCATTTATTCACTTACTGAAGGACATTTTGTCTGCTCCCAAGTTTGGGCAATTATGAATAAAGCTGCTATAACCATCCACGTGTACATTTTTATGGGGACATAAGTTTTCAACTCTTTGGGGTAAATCGTAATACCAAGGAGCACAATTGCTGGGTCGTATGATAAGAGCATGTTTAGTTTTGTGAGAAACCTCCACACTATCTTCCAAAGTGACTGCACCATTTTGCACTCTCTTCAGCAATGAATGAGAGTTCCTATTGCTCCACAACCTCACCAGCTTTTGGTAATGTCCGTGTTCAGGATTTTGGTCATCTTAATATGTGTGTATTTCATCGTTGTTGTTGCATTTCTCTGATGACTTACAATGTGGAAAGGAATGGGAATTTGATTAGCCAACCAACTGAGTCTGTGAAAGTCATCAAAAAAGTTATCCCTTCATTGAATACATTTTCGCAGGAAGTCAAGTATTACTCTTGTTGTTCAGTTGCTAAGTTATGTCCAACTCTTTTGCAACCCCATGGACTGTAGCCCACAAGGCTCCTCTGACCATGAGATTTTATAGGCAAGGATACTGGAGTGGGTTGCCATTTCCTTCTCCAGGTATCTTCCTGACCCAGGAATGGAATCCACATTTCCTACATTGGCAAGTGGATTCTTTACCACTGAGCCACTAGGAAAGCCCCGAGTATTACTCTAGGTTCTATTTAAATTATATGTGCACATATGTGAAATAAATAGGCTACTTGATACATACAAAGTATATGTTTATAAATACAGAAATATAAAAGGACCTACTGTATCGCATAGGGAACTATATTCAATGCTTTGCAATGGCCTATAAGGGAAAAGAATTTGAAAAAGAAAATATATATATATATAAGTATGACTGAATCACTTTGCTATACACTGAAACTAAAACAATGTTATAAATCAACTATACTTCAATTTTTTTAAAAAAAATGAAAAACAACCACAAAAAATGGGAATGTAAAAAAAAGAAAATCTTAAAAAGAAAATCAAAATCAAGAATAATCTTGTTTTATAATAACTCTAAATGGAATCTAACCTTTAAAAATTATGAATCACTATTTTATATAGGCTTCAGCAATACATGAACCGTGAACTCCCAGATGTTCAAGCTGGTTTTAGAAAAAGCAGAGGAACCAGAGATCAAATTGCCAATATCTGCTGGATCATCGAAAAAGCAAGAGAGTTCCAGAAAAACATATATTTCTGCTTTANAGTTGGACTATAAAGAAAGCTGAGTGCAGAAGAATTGATGCTTTTGAACTGTGGTGTTGGAGAAGACTCTTGAGAGTCCGTTAGACTGCAAGGAGATCCAACCAGTCCATCCTAAAGGAAATACTGGGTGTTCATTGGAAGGACTGATGTTGAAGCTGAAGCTCCAATACTTTGGCCACCTGATGAGAAGAGCTAACTCATTTGAAAAGACCCTGATGCTGGGAAAGAATGAGGGCAGGAGGAGAAGGGGAAGACAGAGGATGAGATGGTTGGGTGGCATCACCGACTTGATAGACATGGGTTTGGGTGGACTCTGGGAGTTGGTGATAGACAGGGAGGCCTGGCGTGCTGTGGCTTATGGAGTTGCAAAGAGTCAGGCATGACTGAGCAACCGAACTGAACATATATATTAGAAATTATACTTCAATAAAAAACCTAAACTCTCATGACCCAGAGATAATCATTGTAAATTTTGATAAACTATCTCCCAGTGAAGAAATGAAAATATTTTAAAAATCTTAAGCATATCTTCTATTCTTCAAACATCAAATTTTTATATCTAAAAATAAAAACAAGAAAAGAAGGTTGTACCACTTCACAAAAAGATCAGAACTGAACTTTGCGTTACCCATTTTTCAGTGTGCTTTCAAAATACTTGGGCCTGGGTATTCCAGAAAATGTTAAGTAAACAGATATTGCAGTCTGAATAGTGCTACACTAAAAAGCAGAAATAAATATTTATAGAAAGTTTTAAATTCAAAGATGTTTCTATGAGAAGATAAAGGGAGTCATGTAGCCATATGCATATGACAGCGTTCAGCAATCCCTGTTGGGTGTTATCCCTTGTATGTAGCCAACCACCCTTTGCTACTGCCATTTAATGTCTTTTTCTTACTAAGCCCAACAGAGCAGATTTATCTCAGAGTCAATAACGATAAGATATTTTCTCCTGTGAGAAAATGTGGGACAATGGAAAAGAAAGAATTCAAGGGGATAATTTAGCTGTGAAATTATATATAAAATCCTGAAAGAGATAAAGACATCATAGGAAGTCAGGACTAGCACCATCATATCATAACAAAATTATTTGGTAAATTTAAAGCAAATATTTAGAGGAACATCCCTGGTGGTCCAGTGGTTAAAATCCACCTTCCAATGCTTGGGACTTGGGTTCAGTCCTTGGATGGAGAGCTAAGATCCCACATGCTATAACCAGAGTCCCTGAGCCGTAACTAGAGAAAGCCCATGCACCACAATGAAGACCCAGTACAGCCAAAAATAAAAGTAAATAATTAAACAAATGTTTACCATCTTATTTAAATATGTACTTTGCCAGCTCTGATTTCATGAGTTATAATATAAAATGAAAAAAGACACATAACAAGATAAAGCACAGGTCTATGGAGCATCAGTGAGATAGAAATGTGCCACATGGTATGTGTGGAGGGGACAGAATGCAGAGCAGGCTGGCCTCTCATATCAGATGGTGCTAGGATGGCCCAATAGACTTGGAACCAGGTAATGAACCATATTTGGAAGAGTTGGAGCTCCCCTAGAGGCTCAGATGGTAAAGAATCTGCCTGCAATGCAGGAGACCTGGCTTCGATCCCTGGGTTGGGAAGATTCCCTGGAGGAGGGCATGGCAGCCCACTCTAGTATTCTTGCCTGGAGAAGCCCAAGGACAGAGGAGCCTGGCGGGCTACAGTCCATGGGGTTGCAAAGAGTCAGACATGACTGAGCAACTAACACTTTCACTTTCAGAATGTGATGTACAAATGTGAGGTCTGACATTGTCCTTGGCCTGATTGATTGATGGCCTGATCAGGGCTGGATGGCCTGAGCGTGGTCATTGTCTCTGGAGTCTGTGGTCCAGGCAAAGAGATAGTAACCAAGGTAACAGCATCAGGAACTGCAACCTGAGAGTCCACCTGGGAAGGACAAGTGGGAAGAGCCGAGACCTGGAGAAGCCCTCCTGCACAGAACAGAGACCCTGAGTGCGGAGGAGTCTGGCTGGTTCCAGTCCCTGAGGGGCCCTACATGTAGTCAGAGGAGTGACACCTGCCCCCCAAAGATGCCCATGTCCTCGTGCACATCACCGTGAACATGCTACAGTACACGACAAGGGGAATTCAGGTGGCAGGCAGAGCTGAGATTGCTAAACCACTGACCTTAACTTTGGGAGGTTTTCCTGGATTATCCAAATGGGAGACTAATGTAAATACAAGAGTTTTTAAAAGTGGGAGGTTCTGACCCAGAGTAGCTGCCTGTGAAGAAGGATGATGGGGCTCCAAGTCAAGGAGTAAAGGTGCTCCTAGGAGCTGGAAAAGGCAAGGAAACAGCTTTTCCCTGCTGGAGCCTCAGGAGGATTTGCACTGCTAAGACCTTGGTTTCAGCCCACTGAAACCTGTTGCAGAATTGTGACCTCAGATGCTTAATATGGTCATTTTCTACGCACTAATTTTGGGTAGTTTGCTACAGAAACTGTAGTAGGAGGCTGGTAACACCTGATAAAGCTGCTTTCCCATTCTCTCAGCCTTAGCACAGAACCATAAAATAAACAAGCGTGCTTATGACCAGGGACATTCTGGAAATCATCAAGACCTGCCGTCTGTGTGAGGCTGCTGCAGTAGGAATTCAGTGTGTGGTCACCTCCTTGCCTTGCAGGGTGGGTGAGGCAGGGCGGGTGGATCCACTGTCGGCCACTTCTCTAAGCAGGGGAACCCCAGCTCTGCTAACCAGCTGTGCAATTCAAGGTGGTTCCTCAGCCTGGCTGGGTCTCAGTATCCTCCTCTGCCAAACAGGCATAAGAATCTCAACTTTAGCCAGTCACTGAGCCACCGCCGAGGACTCAGCAGCCGGCCCCTTGAGCCCCTTCGCTTCCTGATGCTCCGTCCCCCCTGCCTGCCTTCTCCCGCCGCTGCCTTCCGCAGGCTGTTTCCACCAAGGAAAAGGAATCATGTCGTATGTCTGCTATCCTTCCTTTCCTGATGCAAGTAAGGGTGATGATCTGCTTCCTGTTGGCACTGAGGATTATATCCATATAAGAATTCAACAGAGAAATGGCAGGAAGACCCTTACTACTGTCCAAGGGATCGCTGATGATTACGATAAAAAGAAACTGGTGAAGGCGTTTAAGAAGAAATTTGCCTGCAATGGTACTGTAATTGAACATCCAGAATATGGAGAAGTAATTCAGCTACAGGGTGACCAGCGCAAGAACATATGCCAGTTCCTGGTAAAGATTGGACTGGCTAAGGACAACCAGCTGAAGGTTCATGGGTTTTAAGTGCTTTTGGCTTACTGAAGCTTAAGTGAGGATTTCCTTGCAATGAGTAGAATTTCCCTTCTGTCCCTTGTCACAAGTTTAAAAACCTCACAGCTTGTATAATGTAACCATTTGGGGTTTGCTTTTAACTTGGACTAGTGTAACTCCTTCATGCAATAAACTGAAAAGAGCCATGGGAAAAAAAAAGTCTCAACTTTAGGATCATTGGGACAATTACGGAGGGTAAGCGCAAAGCATCTCACACTGACTGGCTTTTATTAGGATCTCAAGAAAGGGGTGCTCCTGTTAGTTTGGCACATTTATGTATTTAGAATAGAACACTCATCATCTGCTTTAAGAGGACTTGAAAGTATATGTCAGAACAATTACATGAAAGTTATGAAGTGAGAACAGAAACAATTTAAAGAGCATGTTC